AGAAAAGAAAAGAAAAGAAAAGAAAAGAAAAATAAGAAACAGATAAGTCTTACGTGAAAAAAAACATGTCGAAACTTATTTGAAACAGGAAAACTCGAAATCGATTATCGCGGATCGATCGGTGCATTACGATCTTGCGTAGTTCTCTTTTCGATCGGGCAGGACGAAGAGAGGGCCTATAAATAAATCGCGAGATCGCAAACGTAATCGGCGCAGCTCGTTCGTTGTTTTTCTGTTTTCACGATCAAGTTTGCCGAGAGGGGCTGACTAGCCGAGCCGCTGACACTGGCATTGGCCTACTCTCTCCGGCGTCATTCACTCTCCTGCTTCGCCTTCATGTTCTCACTCTCTTTCGTTCTTTACAAACACGGTCCGAACTGTTGGCTCTCGTTATACTCCTTTCTTTTCTATTAGAGATTTCCCTTTAACCATTTAAGAACGAATATTCTTTGATCCGATCAAAATGCATATGAAAAATGTCCATTCTACTGAACGAATACATATATATATGTATATATATATATATATATATATATATATATATATATATATGTACATTTAAACGTAGAAATTAAATTGATTCATTAGAGAAACAATAAATCATGTATATGCGTATGTGTATGTGTATGTGTGTGTGTGTGTGTCCGCCCTCCATTTCTCCTTCGCTCCTCTCCGTCTTGTTAACGATTAATTCATGTCATTTTTCTTCTCTGTGAACACTATCTTCGTCAATCATCTTCTGGACAATAGGACAATGGTAAAGAGTTTTTCCAACATTGTCGATTGCATTCGTAGGATTTAATATGAATCGAATGAAACGACGCGACGAAATGGCGACAAAGTTTTCTCATAGATCAGATAAAGAAGGTTCAAAGGGAAATCATCCATCAAACAACGAAGACTACGACGACGATGACGACAACAATAACAACAACAACAACAACAACACGATGATGATAAAAAAAAGTCGAAAACGAAGAAGAGGAAGACGACCTGGTTTCCAAGCGAGAAAAGTCGTTCGTTTCTTATTCAGAGATCGGAGAGTCAACGAAGATACCATGAACTAAGCGAAGGAGGGACACGCTCTTCCCGATTCTGGACCCTGGAAAGCACTTCTTCGCCTCCCTTTCTCTCGTTGCATATATGCGTTGCACACATAAACATAAACACATATACACCTCTCTCTCTCTCTCTCTCTCTCTTTCTCTCTCTTTCTTTTTCTTTCTCGTTCTTACATTGGTTTGGCTGCTCTCTCCCTCGTTTCTGTTATGAAAGTGCTGCAAGTGGAGCGCGCCGTGCGACAAACAAAGCTGTGTACTTTTATTTACGAGTGACCGACTTGCATCAAGGAGAGGAGAGACCGACCGGCTTTAGCGATAGAAGACGAGCCATCATCACGGCTCGTCCACACCTTCCGCTTTTCCTCCTCCGAGCCACGTGGGCTATGTGTTGTAGGGATTGGCAGAGAAAGAGATGGAGAGAGAGAGAGAGAGAAAGAGAGAAAGAGAGAAAAATATGTACATACTTACATCGGATGCAAAGAGAGAGTGGAAAAATAAAGGCAAACCGAGAGAGTGGCTCGAGTCGGCTACGAAACGTCGTCGGCCGAGAAAAATCATCGCATACGATGATCCTCTTTTGCGAGAGAGCTTGGATTCTTTAACGCCGGACGGAAGGATTCCTTTTCCTTTTTCGAGAGAGAGCAACAAACGCGCACACTCCTTCGGAAGTTCGAGAACCGCAAAGTTTCCATTAAAAGTTGGCCGATATCTTCTCGATATTTTCTCTGTCTTTCTTTCTCTTTCTCTTTCTCTCTCTCTCTCTCTCTATTTATTTATCTATTTATCTATCTATCTCACTCTCTCTCTCTCTCTCTCTCTCTCTCTCATTCTGTTAATGGAAGAAACGAACGGAAGGAATCGAAAGGAAGATCGACTCGGTAAAGAATCGAGAGCGAGCCTCCTCGCAAGAGAAGCGCACACGGTCAATCTTATTAGGGAATTGCACTTTCTTTCGTGCTCGCTCGTTAGTAGTTGTGTTCTCTCGACCGTTCATTTCCCTCCGCGTGCTCTGCGCGAGATCGCCTCAGAGCTCTGTCTTCGAGGACGGCCGAAGGTGAGAAGAACGAGGAAACCGAGCTGCCTCTCTGAGGTGCAACGACCTCCGCTTACAAAGTGGGTCGATTGTGGGCGCACGCAATCGTCGCAACGATTTTGAAAAATAGCCGACCCACATTTGCAAGGGAGTACTTTCACGGTCGCTAACCCCGCGATGAGAAGATCGTACCGCGCTGCGCAACGCAGCGCAACGACGTTGCGCTACGAAGACTATCCTCTTCTTTTCTCTTTTCTTTTCTTTTCTTTTCCTTTCCTTTCCTTTCCTTTCCTTTCCTTTCTTTTCTTTTTCTTTTCTTTTCTTTTTTCTACTTTTTCTTTTTATTCAATCGGTCGGTCGGTCTGTCGGTTCGTCTCGCGCCACGTGAAAATCGCACGGAACTCTCTAAGCCAAGTCGTTACGGTGAAGACCACTCTTACCGCTTGGCATGAATCAAAAGTGCCTTCTTCCTCCGATGGCGACAAAGGAAAAAAAAAAGAAGAAGGAAAAAAAAAAACCAAAAGACCAAAGAAAGAGAAAAGATCGATACAAAATCGAACGTTTCTTTTTGACGATTAACGTTTAAAAAAAAAAGAAAAGAAAGCCATAAGAAGATAACAAAAAAATTGTTATCTAACGAAACTAATTCTCTTTTTTCTTTTTCCTTATTTTTTTTTTCTATTTTCTTTTCTTTTTTTTTTGGTTCTAAGCTCGAATTTTTGAACGAATTCGATATCGTAACGGTGTGTTACCTACGATTTTCCCTAAATAAGGAAAACTTTTGCCAAGAGCGAAATGTTTTGATAGATATACGAATTTTGTCCTAAATAAAAATCCCATATGAAGATTATTACTTTATATCTTCGAAAGAGAATTTATTTTATTTATCTTTCGTTTTTTTCACAAAATCATATCAATTAGATTACGATATTCGTCATTTATATTCATGAGAGATTCTGATTATTTTACGATTGGCTTTTCTCGTTGATATCGAAAACACGACTTTTAATTATTTGATATAATATTCAAGAAAACATATGTTAAATCTATTAATGTTAATAATGTTAACGACGTTAAATTTACCAGAAAATATCGAATAAATAAACGATCGTTAAATATATACGTCTATCCAACGATTAAGTACGATTATCTCGATCCTTCTTTCGATCCATCTTTAATTTTTCCACGAGGAATATAACAACAAAAAAAAAAAAAAAGAAAAAAAAAAGAAAAAAAGACAAAGAAAAAAAAGAAAAGAAAATAAAGAAAAAAGAAAAAACAATGGAAAAGAAGGAAAGAAGACTCTTCCTCTAAAAAGTTATCGTAAAGGCAATCGTTCTCTACGTTCACATCAAGAATATTAACTAGCGATGCCTAGTATTTTTCGTCCTACACGCGATTGGATTTCCCCTTGATTTCTCAACTTTTACCCTCGTGCGAAGCGCCGCGCGTTACCGAAGGAGCCCCACTTTTCACCACAGATTCTCACGATATCGTGCTCGGAAAGTAGCGAAAACGTGCTGGAGGATTTCTTCCCCCCTTTCGCGTCCCCTGTCCCCGGTTGGTACACTCGAGAGGATCGCCGGTCGGTTCGCTTTTGCACGGTTCGCCATGCACAGAGGATAAAACTGTCATCTCGAAAGTTGGCCTACTATCTCCTCGAACGCGATAATAGCACCACAGTCACGATCTCTCTCTTTCTCTTTCTCTCTCTCTCTCTCTCTCTCTCTCTCTCTCTCTCTCTCTCTACTTTCCACCCTCACCTTCTTTTTGTTTTTATCTCGATCGGATTTCTTATCGAGCGTTCTAATCGCTTTAACGAGTAAAGCTAAAACAAATTTAAGCTAACTTGCGATATATATATATATATGTATGTATGTATGTATGTATGTATATGTATATACGCTTAGGTTTATTCTCTTATTGTAAGAGAAATACTATCTGTTTAATAAAGATCTAACATAAATACGTAAAATAATAAATCGTTCGATTCTTACTTTAATCTAGTTTTATTCAATTTAAGCGGGAAACGTTAAATCAATAATGACGCACCGAAATATTATACCTAGGATATGGTAAAGAGCCAAGAACAATTTATCACAAGTACAGCCTCTCCTTAGATCAGACACATGCATGCGGTATTACGTGGACCAATCGCGATTCGAGACTGAAACGATGCAGAGTTTTTTCATATATCATTTGGCTAAAATACATATAGAAATTAGATAAACTCGAAAAGATTTTCATATTCGTTTTCTTTTTTTTTTTTCATAGACATGATCGTTCTTTTCTTTTTTTTTTTTCTCTCAAATTAACATCCAAATGTAATTTATAAAAATTCTGACGTACGAAAATACAACACGCTAACTCGTTTTCCATAGTTAGACTATATCATATTATGTGTCAATATGTTATATGTAAATATTAAATATTTACACGTTAAAGAGATATCCGAGTTATTCAAGAACATTTCGGGGGGGGGGGGGGGGAGGGGGAGGAAGGAAAGATCAATAATCCCGTGGCTTACGCATTGCGTCTACCCATAGACAGTGCTCGTCTCGTAACGTTCGTAGTAGTATCCGTTCTCGAAATCAATAGAATTAACTAATAAACATTCTAATAAAGATACGAAGTTAATATATTCTAATCGACTGTTATCGATAATGAATAACTATTAGGTTATCTGCTTTAATCGTATATATATATATATATGTATATTATACTTTTATGAATAATATAATTGATAAATTTTAGAAACGAATTAATTTCCGAGAAAACGGTGTTCCGAATTCATGAAATTCCTTGGCTCCTTTCCTTCTTCCAATTTAATTTCAACGATTGAACTCTAATCATGTTCTATCGAGTGATTTATAACAAATCAACCTCGGGAATTTTATCTCTCTTACCTCGTCTCGATGTATCGTTAATTATCTCTCTTTCTCTTTCTCTCTCTCTCTCTCTCTCTCTCCCTTTCTCTATCTTTTTCTTTCTCTCTCTCTCTCTCTCTCTCTCTGTCTCTTTCTTTCTTTCTCTCTTTTTCTGTGTCTATTTTTCTCCTTCATTGCAATTGTGTAGAAGATCAGATGCAAATGCGTGCAGGTCGTGCCACGCTACACCTGCCGCGTATTCTGGACGAGCGCTACTATGTGCCTCTTCGTACGACCTTGACACGCTTGACTGAGAAGTACAGAAGAAGTCTCCGACCGTTGGGTACCAAATCGTAAGTTGGCACACGCAGAGCACTAGAAAGTAAAATACCTAAGTATATATGTATATATGTATACATGTACGTATATACGTAGATTTATAGAGAAAGAAAAAGGACAAATAAAAAAAAAAAAAAAAAGAAAGAAAGAAAGAAAGAAAGAAAGAAAAAACTAAGCAAACTCTCTTATATATATAAAAAAAAAAAAACTATGACATTATTGTTATTCCCCTTTTATTCTTCGTTTTCTTTCAACGAGTATCAGGTATATACGCTTACTGTTAGAAAATATTATATATATATATATATATATATATATATATCTTAGACATATTTAAATTCGACGATCGTTTAACTTTCGACGATGTAAATTTATTATAATGCGATTTAGTCGTCGATGAGTTAGAAATATTCGTTGCTCATTAGGGTTCTTTGAGTCATTCGATTCAAGATTCCTGGGATATCTATCTATCTATCTATCTATCTATTTCGTATCGAGAAGAAACGTATAGATTCTTTCGCGCTCGGTTTGAAATATATGCAAGTAGCGTATCTGGGACGAGTGACCTGATTAGAGCGCATTATCTTGAATGTACTTATACGCCGGTGAACTCCAGCAGCACGGAAGTCACTCACGAGTTCTCTCAGAAAACGAATGTTTGAACATGCAAATTGAATTTCTCCCGGCCCCTCCCCTCTCTCTCTCTCTCTCTATCTATCTATCTGCTCCCTTCGCTGCTACGAAAATTCGCAAGTTAAAAGTTTGACCGACCACGATGCAAAAACCTAATGATATGCCCTGGCATGGGTGGTACGCGTTTAGAGGTGTCACAATCGATCCTTTTGGCCCAACTAGTCGAAGGAAGGCCACCGCATTGGCGAAACGCTTCCAAACGATACGCGTACTTCATCCTTATCCTTTATTTTCTTTTCTTTTTTAGATCGCTCTTTTTATTACAAAAAAAAAAAAAGAAAAAAACGAGAGAAACGAAATATTTCACGGAAACGACGATGACGAAGCATTCTGATCGATAAATTATAAGAGATAAAACGCCATATATGCAAAATTCTAAATCGAAACGGAAACCGATAAATCAACGAAGGACGAAGGACAAACGAGATTAATCACACGTTCGGAATGCCAATCGTGATTGCCACTTAACAGCGATATAACGTGGAATTCGATAAACTTGCATCCCTATTCCCCAATCCTCTTTACACGTTCCATCGTCATTTTTCACGAAATCAATCGTACTACAATCTCGTAATTGCTTCACGATGGAAATTGTATTTACGACGTTACCGATCTTAATAACATTGAACGAAGAAGAAACCTTTAACGTCGATTATAAATTATAATTGAAAGTTTCTTATCAAATGATCGTACGATCATTAAGGGAATAATATCGTGGCATCGCGAAAGAAAACTTTGAGTTGGCCTTCCTCTAACGAATCGACGTCATTATCTTCATATGGCACGTTAAAAGGATAAGTTAGTACTAACTATATATATATATATATATATATATATATATATATATATATATATATATATATATATATATATATATATATATAGATCGCTATTCTCTCAGCCAAGTTTCAATACCTACAAGGTTTCCTCATGAGCACACTCGAATCAAGAGTTATAGGCAAGAAAAATAAAATGATAGAACATTTTGGCAGAAGGGTGAAGATAAATTCTTACGCGGATTCCGGCTTCTTTCCCTAGACTCACCCACACCTACCCTTCTACCCCAGTAGACATCGACAATTGTCAGGTGTTTACATAGGGGGTAGAACACGCGGTAACGTCTATAAGGCGTAGACGCACTACGATAAAGTTTTTGCATGGGGTGATCGAAGACGGTTGATTGTAATGGTGATAGCGATGATGATGATAATGATGATGATGATGATGATGATGATGATGATGATGATGATGACGATGATGATAATGATGATAATGATGATAATGATGATGTTGGTGGTAGTAGTGGTGGTGGTGGTGGTGGTAGTCGCTTAATAGGCCTGTATTAAAGAGGGTGGTTGGCGCGAGTGCGGGTGCGCGACTGCATGCGCCGCTGCAGCGACGCCGTAGTACCGGCGCCCGCCGTCCTTCTACGCCTCGGCGCCACAGTCTCTCTCTCCGCATGTCCGGAGCCGGCTGAATCCTCCGCTCCTTATCGCCGCAAGTCCACCTATCGTCTCGTTACGTGTACAAAATGGTAAGTCAATCGACGTTATTTTCAATGTGAATCAAGGAAGACAAGGGGGAAAGAAAGTACATTTTCAAATGTCTTTAAATAATCATATTTTCTTCGTAAATGTTCCTTTTCTTTTCTTTACTTTTTTTCTCTTTTTTTTTTTTTGTTTCTTTTGCCCGATTAATTTTCAATGTTTCTTGAGAGCACCCGGCGATGTTATGTTCTATTCGTATACTGTCTATCACTCTCTTTCTCTCTTTCTCTCTCTCTCTCTCTCTCTCTCTCTCTCTCTCTCTCTCTCTCTCTCTCTCTCTCTCTCTCTCTCTCTCTCTCTCTCTCTCTCTCTCTTCATGTATAAGTTGGACGAGTAAAAAATATTATGGACTTTCGATCGCGCGGGGAAATGACGTGTATGAGTGCGGATTTGAAAACTCACGGCTAATTTTCGTTATTTCTTCCTTCTCCTCCTCCTCCTTCTCTTCTTCCTCCTCTTACTACTACTACTACTACTACTACTACTACTACTACTACTACTACTACTACTACTACTACTACAACTATTACTACTACTGACTGCTGTGACTCCTACTACTCTTACTTCTTTCCTCCTCCCCTTCCCCCCTAACCCCCATCCACTTATTTTCCGTACGACTTTGAAATAATCGAGTACGCTAGTTTGCCGCGATTTTTCTCATAGAAATGGGCGCCTTCGTGGACGGAAAATCTGGGTCAAGGAAAGAGCACCGTGTGACCACAGTACTACGCGCCTAAACGAACTCTCGAAGCAACGTGCTCTTCCGTTTGACACTTCACGCGTTGCGTCGTTAACGACCGGAAGAGTGAATAGAGAGGAAAACCGTCTGACGTGTGTTCAACGTCGAAGCGGCTCATTATTTCGCCGCAAGATAGCAGCACCTCGCGGTCCTAATCCATCGAGATGCTCGCTCTTTTTTTTTCTTCTTTTTTTTTTTTTAATTTTAAAATTGTACGTGACGCCGAATGAGAGATTCTTTTCTCGAGTCATGCGGTTCGCGTGAAAGTGTGCAATAAAAAAAAAAAAAAAAAGTATTTTATAACGACCTAAACGGATGGCACGTTTCCAGCATTGCATACATTTTCTTACATGGATTATCTATTTTCATCGTTTTATTTGAAATGAAAAGATAAAAAAAATAGAAAAAAAAACAAAAAAAAAACAAAATGGTACGACATCTTGATTGACGCTTTAAAAAATCGTAATGAAAATGTTGTTTCCTTTGTAAAAAAAAAAAAAAAAAAAAAAGAGAAAAAAAGAAGTAACTGTGTTGTGAAATAATCGTAGTCACGAGAATCCCAAGTATCGATCTGTTTTCCCTAACTCTTGTATTCTAATTCGATTAGGAGAGCGGGAGAGTTCCACGGTAATACATATATGTGCAAACGTTGAACGATGTTTCGTGACATTCTGCAATGATGAACTTCATCTTTTTACGTCATCTTATTTGAAAGATTATCGCAATAGTTTATTCGCATGTAACGCGAGCAGATAACGGCGCAAGTAGTCCCGTCGATTTCAAACGAAACTATTAACTTTCTAACACGAACTCGGAAAAGTTTTCAAATCCCTGTAAGAACGGTACGAACGTTTAAAATCAAACGTTTAACGGTACTAAATTATCTAAAGTAATTTTCTTACTCTTTAAAAATGCGACAGCGTTGTTTTCCGCGCTGACTCATGTCCTTGCCCTTCCACCAAAAACGAAAGCGAGATCTATACTCAGGGTCGCATTCTTTTCTGCAGAGTCCTGCGCACGAAGGCAAACACACCCACGAAATTAAATGCAATTTATCCAACGGTTAAAATCCAATAAATTCTAAAATTAATTAACTATTATTACGAAAATAGACGTTAATATACTTGTATCATTAACCATACTAATGCTGATGATAAAACTGTTATTTTGCATTTAAAATTTGTTGCTGAGAAAAGAGATAAAAGAAAAAAAAAGAAAAGAAGTAACAAAAATCTTCCCATAGGTGCTTGCGGATGCGACGCTGACGGATAATCATCACCGTCAGCGAGGATTCGCGACAAATGGCAACCCGGAAGGCATCACTGTATGTAATCTGATAGACGGAGAGACTCTGACCTATAGTTTGGCCCTTATACGCGGTCGGGCACCATTGGCGTGTAATTATATCACCGTTAGGGCTCAAAAAAATGTGACATCGGAATGGCCAGTGGTCGGAGGCGAATTTCGCGCGTTAGTTGATCTTACGCGCGGATCCAATAAGATGGAACTCGAGGCCGGAGGACACAAACGACGATTAACTCTTTTGCATGAACCGAGAACAACTAGGCTACGAGTGACACCGGTATATGTGGTATGCGCGGGACACGATGGCTATTTCCAAGGACCACGAAGAGAGGATAGATCACCAGAAAGCGCGGCAACCAGAATAGGTTTGGGTGCTAGACTCTTGCAAACTCTAACAGCGGAAAAATTGAGGGAAGCTGGACACGGAAAGAAGACGTTTCAATTGGAACGCGATCTGGACGGTCCAGAATGCTTGGTGATGCACAGTATGCTTCACGTCGACAGAGCACGAGCTATGTCACAACGAGAATTATGGGAATTGATCGCACGCGAATTGATGACCGGTCCGTTAGCATCGAAGGACCGGAAATATCTAGCTTTCTTATCTTGCACGAGGTATCGCGGTGCGCCGAGTCCCCGTACTCACGAAGATACCTTAGCGAGAACGCAAGGTCATGCTGCTTTGGGTGGCGGTGGTTTAGCTCTTTTCGGCTCAGCTTGCTTGCATACGTGGCCTACCTGCATGGCTCAAGTACTGCCCCGATTTTTAGACACCACGGTCGTTGACACCGAACAACTGATGGACGATAGCAATTATCGAGGTACCCATGGTGGCTGTTTAGCGACTACTCTTGGATCGGTTTTACACGAACTCGGGCACACGTTCGATCTCGGACATACGAGGGAAGGTATTATGGGACGTGGTTTTGATTACGTCGACAGGGTCTTCGTTGGAGCGGCTGGAATCGATTTCAATCGTAATCCCATCAGGAGAGATCCACAACATACAACTGTTGCTCTCAGTAGACCTCTCAGCGTCACGGTTACAGTACAAGAACCGGTATTGTCTAGCCCCCGGAGAGGACGACTTTTATCTGAGACATCCAGGCCATCACCATCGGCAAATGCGAGACAACTTCCTGGCAGACTATCCGCTCCCGCTAGTCCCGAACTTAACAGATCTTTCTCTAAGACTTTAAACGCGGCCGAACTACCTTCTCAACCGGATAGAACTTTCTGGGGACCTTCTTGTGCCGCGTTGCTCGCTTATCATCGATGGTTCAACACCGAAGCTGATAATCATTCCAACAGACGTCATAATGACATAGAATACGATGGTAAAAGGTATAATTAAAATCGTAAAATATCTATGTTTCTATTAAAAATTTTCTATTATCTAAATTATTCTCTATTTTATTGATTTCGCAGGAACGTGGCACGTTCTCGATATGGTGTTAGAGTGATCGAACTTAGAGAAACTTCCGGTGGTATGGTCGTTGGTTCTCGTCAATTTCCTGGTACTCGGCCACCTTTAGAAGCATTGGTACCACCACCTCCACCTCACTGCCTGGCAGCTTTAACTCTAGTCGCTGAGGATTCCACGGGGAACATACTCAAACACGAGCTTCCAACTGCCTTCTGAAGGTCGTTGGAATTATTACGACCGACCGAACCATTTTTCCTTGCCTTACCAGCCAAAGAGAATGAACAAAAAATTCTTTAACATACCTAGAATTCATTTTGAACCGCCGGTCGGTCCCAACAATGCGGTAACCGCGGCGAAGAATGCTTCGTAGTTCAAGCAGGTTTTGTTCGCGGCTATTAGACATCTTATTATTCTAATAATCTAATACGTACTTTACTCGAACACTTGTACTCTCGCTCTCTCTCTCTCTCTTTTTCTCTCTTTTTTGAATAATATAAGTTCTTTTTTAAAGCACAAAAGTCTTCGATTCATGTTAAATATAATATCGTACTGCCATCTTACACTTTCATCATTTTCATCGCTTTCGAGGATATTCTCTCATCGTGTATTAAACGCGATACCTGAAAATATATCGTTCTTATATTAGAAGGGGTGTCGGTTAATTGGCGAAGAAGTGCTAAAATTTAGGAATCTAAATAATTATTTAATTTCGAAAAATATACTGATACTCCGAAGAAAAAAAAAAAATGTGCTTCTATAATTCAATATAAAGAAGAAGAAAAAAAAACAAAAATCAAAAAAAAAAAAAAGGAAATAAAATAAAATGAAAGAAAAAATACCTGTAATAAACATGATCACGAACATTTCTAATCGTAAATTATTAGACAACAGGGATTTTATACCATCGAAATAAAATTCCATTTCTAGTCGATCAACAGGGCATAGATCTCGTTCACGTGCGATACATCTTATCTTCGTGGTTTTTTTTTTTTTTTTTTTTTTTTTTTTTTTTTTTTTTTTTTTTTAGTAAGCAAAATATATACGATACCTGAAAGAACTTCGTTTCATTCATTCACTTTGCCTGGAGTGTGTAAAAAAAAAAAAAAAAGAAAAAAAAAAAAGAAGAAAGACAGAAAGAAAGAAAAGGAAAGAGAAAAAAAGCAATTATCACTTTTCTCAGAATATCATGATATATTACACACATGCCGTGCACAAAAATTAAATAAAAAGAAAGGCACGTAAGTTCGCGATAATGCAAATGTAAAACCTGTAACAATATAATAATGAAACGTCGTTCATAATGCGAAGAAGTAAGTACGTATGCGCTAAAATGTAGTAACAGCGTATAATCTTTTAACATTACGAGAAAACATACAATAGTTGTATATTGTTACGTATGTATATGTATAATATTATTCCTTAAATTATTTTAATAATATAGATTAATCGGGTATGACAGTTATACAGATGACAATATTGTAACGCGGACTTCGGCAGATTTAAAAAAAAAAAAAAAGGAGCATCAATCATTTGATTAAAGAGATGAGAAAATATTTACGAAATATTTTAGGCAAGAAACCCCATTTATCGATAAAGCATTAAGCTAGTCAGTAAGAATACAAACAAACAAACAAACAAACAAACAAACAAATAAACAAACAAAAAAAAAAAGAAAGAAAGAAAAAAAGAAAATTTTATTATTTAAACGCTTCAAAAATAATGTAAGAAAAATTATATTTAATTATATCTAGATATTAAGCCTATGCTTTGGAGAATACGTATTAAAAAAAAATATTATGTTCCTATATTATTAATCATGACATTTATTCCCTTTCATCTATTATTATTATTATTACTTCTTATCGTAATATAGATATATTTTCAATCAAACTAAGTAGAACGATTTAAGAAGAATCATCATTATTCCATTCAAATCGATGAAATAGAATAATAATGTATTAATCAAATGAAAGATTTTGATCATAAAGAGTTTCTATTAAGAAACTTGAATTTTTTAAACCTAATAAAAGTAAAAAAATGAGATTGTTATCAAAGAATGAAAATACTCATTTTTTTTGTTCGTTTTTCTATTTCTCATTTTCTTTTTTATTTATTTATTTACTTTCTTTTTTCTTTTTTTTTTTCTTTTTTCTTTTTTCTTTTTTCTTTTTTCTTTTTTTTTTTTTCTTTTTTTTTGTGGAAAAATTTTTTACTCTCATTCTGGACGTTGCTCAATTCACTTTTATTCGCAATTTTATTGCCTTTCAAGAAATATCTGTTATAAGATTAATTGTAAGATACAGCTATTTGATTGTTCGTATTTGTTTTTCGTTATGTAAAACATTTTTTTATTGTTGAAACTGTTATTATATATAACCTTACATGTAAAATATATAACCTACCATAACCTAGCAACGTGTGTTGTTGATTATCGTAATAGTATTTGACGTTAATTTTAACCATATCATGGCATTACCATCGGAGGAAACAGTTCCAAAAATATTGTGTATAAATGCAACATATTTTCCGGACATTGTCAATGATAAAATATCTACGGAAAATTTTTTACATGCTTCTCGTGGTGTTGTGGTAATAGTTGGTAAATAATTACTACATTTAAAAATTGATAAAATGACATTTCGTTAATGTAATATAAATATAGAAATTAATTTTCTTCGATGACATTTGAAAATTATATATTTAATATTTCAGAAAAATTTGGAAAATTATTTGCACCAGTTAAACATGATATGGAAGGTAACATAGAGGTTAATAAAATATATATTATCTAAATATATGAATCTATTTGAGTGATATAAATCTATAAAGAGATTTTATATTTTAGAAATTAAATAATAAATATTCTATAGACAAAGAAAAACACAAAACTTTACAGGATATGATACTATTGGAAAAAGAAAAAGGTGAAACTATAATTGCTACTGATGCTTTGATGTGGTTAAAAAGGTATACATATATATATATATAAAAATTTGTTTAATAATTATAATTTAATAGCTTCTTTTTTATGCTTTATAAATGTATAAATTTTGTTTTAGAAGCTTATACATGATTCTATTATTTTTTGAAAAACTTATTGAAGATCATAATGCCGGTAAGGCAACAGATGATCTAGTAGCATTTTTAAAGGAAGCATATAAAATATCTTTAGAACCATATCACGGTTGGATGTTACAGCAGCTTTTTGGTGTAAGCATTATGTGTATTTAGTTTGCTTTGTAATTGTATATTATATACATTTAACACTAAAAAAACTGAAACCTAGTATATACCTATATTGCCCAAAAGCAGTCAAATTGACAGCATTATGAACGAATAACTAATGTGTTTTGAAATTTGTTTAAAATTTATTTTATAATATTTTTTATATTATTTACTAGTTATATAACAAGTTATTAGTAAATATTAACAATAAAAAAAAAATTCTAAGAAATTGTGTCATTATATACATAATTGTTTTTCTAATTGAAATTAAAAAGCAGTCAAAATGACTTCCTTGGACAATCTAGTGTTAAGAATGAAGTAATTTTAATTTCATAATTATCAATCTAATATTTCATAATTATTTTAATAGTTGCTGTCACGTACGGTACCTTCTCGTAAACAGCTTTTACAAACAATTGTAGATGGAAAAGACTTTACGGATGAAATCATTTTACGTGATATGGAAATATATACAAAAAATCTTAGATTAAATATTGAAAATTTACAAATATTTTATAAAAAGTATGAACTTGAAAAAGATCTTTAAATATGACAATTATTTATTTATTTTATTATTGACTATATATATATATATAGTCAACATGAAAATATGTTTCAAATGTTTATTTCTATGTTTTGATCAAAATTATTGTGCATATCTAAAATACTTACGTAACTAAAATTATTAATCTATATTATTGATCTACAATTAATATATCAATATGTATAAATATGCATGACATGCTATAACTTGCAATATAAAATTATCTTGTAAAAAATTTTATTTAAATTTTATCAAGCGATAAAATGAATATAAATATTAATTGAATTGAATATTAAATTATTATTTTTAATTTAACCTATCCTCTATTCCATATAATTGAGCTATATAAAATCTTTTAGCATGATGATTGGCTGAATTCTTTAATGCTATAGTCCCTGAAATTATTTCTATACTAAGAAAAAATATCATTAAACTATTAACAATTTGTTCGCTAAACTTAAGCATAGTTCTATTATCAAGAAGAAGAAATAATTCTAATGGAAATTGTATTAATGTGGATATAAGCCAAAAGCTTGCTAGTTCTGGAATCTAATATAACAAAATAATTATTATATATCTTCTTTTTTATTTTTATTATCTATCCAAAATGATATTACCTTTTCAGCTAAATTACCAAGATATCCTAAATATAATCTCGTACATTCTAATACAGAAATAAGTAAGAATAACGCAACTGTTATAAATTTGTACACATCCGTTAACTGTAAATACTGTAATATAAAATATAATCTACATTTAAAATAATGTTTTTATTAAATTTTCCAAATATATATTTACCTTTGAGTCCAAACTTATTATACTTATAAAAAACCAAATTGGCAAAAGCCATACATTAAAGTATAAAGCCATTTGTAACGGTAAACTAGATTGTATTTGATTACCTGTAAAATAAATATAAAAGAAATGAGTTAATAATAATTATTAAATAAATTAAATATTCTATTGTAAAGATCATATAAATTATTTCTATTTAAATCAATCATTTTATAATAATATTAATGTATCGAAATAAATATTTAAAATAAATTATTGTAAAAGAATAACGTTAAAAAAAATATATGTAAAAATATATTATACCTATGTCATAAAATTCTTTCTTACGATCATGATATGCTAAACCAGGAAATATATGATCTGAAGCATTTACTATCGATGATTTCCACATTTATTTATCCGGACTAAGGATAAATTTGTCAAATTTAATAAAGATTTTAATCTACAAATATCTATAGAAATATTATAATAAAGATTTGTAATACTTATATTTTAATGTTAGTTAAAGTAAAAAAATAAGTTTTGAATCTGTACGACGTGAATCAAATATTAAATGGGATAAATTTAAATCTGGACCACTTTTATCTTCTTCTTACTTCCGTTCTCTCAACGATTCTCCAATAGCGTGTTATGTCTATCGAATAATCGGTTAGTCAAAATCGATACAAAAAGAAATATATATATATATATATATATATATATATATATATATATGTATGTATAAATAACTAAACTTATTCTCCATGTAGTATAAAAAAAAGTAAGACGAAATACTCCAATAGGATAATAAAAACATAGTGTATATTAAATTTTTGTCCACGATTATTATCCTCTTTGATTTCTATTGGTTTCTATATAATACACGTTACCAATAGTTTAATATATTATGACACTAAAGTTTCGAGAATATGATTAAAATTTTTATAATACATTAGAACATTAATAATATATTAATGTAGATATTTAAGAATCTATTTGAAATTATAAGGATATAAAATGTAATAAAATAAAAAATTTTTTAAATGTTTATCATCTTGAAAATAATCAGTTAAATCCATTGAATGAGATATGCTTTATAGATATTATACTTATCTTACTCGATAATAAATAAATGACGATAAATATTGAAATAAAAATGCACGACATGCGCATGGCGTTGTGCGCATATCAGTCTTTTGTTTTTTTTGTATCTAACAATGTAAAATTTTATATTAATAATACAAATATATTAAATCTGTATATATATGTGTGTATATATGTACATCTCTCTGTGTGTGTGATGTGTGCGTGATGTGCATTGTGTATATATGTATATATATATATATATATGTGTGTATAATTCTGACAAGTTCTGACATGTTTTAATATAAAAGCTTAACAACAAATTTTAACTCGGTTCATAGAAACCTAGACGGCGCAGTAATACATCGATATGAAACCTACCGCGAATGAGTCATGCTTTTGTATCAGTGATACTTTAAGGGTTTTCCAGAACGTCATTTCTTTGTATACTATATCATCATTTTATCTTTTGTATAGGATATATAATACTAATTAGAAAGTTTCTTTTTCTTCTATTTTTTTAAATGTAATATTAAATATTCAATGATTTTGGAATATATATTTTACAATGAATCAAGAACATCGTAAAAGGATTGATTTATATTGTGATATCATAGTACCTAAAATAAACATAATGAAATTATGGCCTAAGTTATTAGAAAATGAGATTTTTAACATTGACGATGTTAATATATCAACGTGGAAAGTAAATATTTTCAATTAATTCATTGATATCTTAGTTTATTAAATTTTTTATTTTTTTTATTTTTTTTATTTTTTTTTTTTTTTATTAACCATTTAAGAAAAATAAAACAAACAAACGAACAAAAATTATTAAAGACATTTAATTTAAAGTTAACATTTATTGTTATAATTTATTGATAATTTACAGAAGAACTTTGAGAAGGAAGAAACTGTCAAAAGTATTTTGTTAACGATTAAAACTAGAGGACCTTCTGCATTTCAAAATCTGCTTTTAAGTTTACAACAAACTGATCATGAAGAATTGGCAGAAATCTTGGATAAACAGACAGTTATCTTTAATAATGAAAATGAAGAAATAAGTGACAATTATTTTTCTCAAATAAGGGACGCTGTGGAACCTTTACAAATCAAAGTGAGAAAAGCTGAAGAATTTTTAAGTGGTCCAATTGGCAGTCTCATTGAAACTTATCGAATGAGAAGTAATCCTCGTGGATTGGTTTTAATCATTACTAATATTGATTATGATCCTAATGTACAGAAACCTAGAAAATCAGCAATACATGATAAAGAGAATCTTGAAAAATTGTTTAAAGATATGGGATTTTCTGTTGAAACGCATTGCAATTTGACAGGAAAGGTATATTAATAAATAATAATTATTAAAAATATTACAAGAAAGAGAGAGAGAGAGAGAGAGAGAGAGAGAGAGAGAGAGAGAGAGAGAGAGAGAGAGAGAGAGAGAGAGAGAGAGAGAGAGAGAGAGAGAGAGAGATAGTATAATAAAAAATAATGCAATAATATTAAAATAATATATTTTAGCATTATTATCTAATTATGCTCTTATAGAGATAATAAGTTTTATTTTATTATATATAAAGTTATGAATTTCTTTAATTAAAATTAAAATATATAAACTAAATTAAATTAAAATATTTTACAGGGTATTATAGAACGTGTTAAAACATTTTCACAGCGTAAAGATTTACAAAATGTTGACTCGTGCTTTGTAATTATTAGTAGTCATGGTAAAAAAGGTGAAGAGAATTATACAGAAATAGAAGGTGTAGATTATTATACTGGACATAAATGTACGAAAGTCTTTTGTTCAGATATCATAGATTGTTTCACATCAGAAGCTTGTCCTTATTTAGCAGGAAAACCAAAAGTATTTATTTTTCAATTATGTCGGTACGTAACAATAAATATATTTTATTTAGAAGATAATTGAATATTAATTTATAATTTAAAAAATAAAATTATATTACTGAGAGAATTTTTTTTTTAGAGGTACCAAAAGACAAACTATTACAAATATACCTAAACATGTAACAGATTCATGTGGCAATCATACAGTTATGAACAGTGCCAGTGAAATTTTTAAAGACAATCCAACTAGAAATTATTCCGATTTCTTAGTTGCATATGCTACCCTACCAGGACATGTTGCCTTTCGAAATAATGTAACTGGTAGTTGGTTTATACAAATATTTTGTGATGTATTTATGAATCATGCTTATAAATATCATCTATGTGATTTATTAACATTAGTAAGTATTAAATTTATAAATGATTATATATAAATATTTATGTAATTTAAATATAAATAAATTACCAACAATTTATTATGTTAATTTATAGGTAGATTCGAGACTGAAAGAAGTGATATATTCAGGTGATTGTCAAACGGTAATGGTTGAAATGAGAGGTTTTCATAAATTCTGTTACCTCAATCCTGGTTTCTTTGAGAATGAAAAAAAAGCAATAATAATTAAAAATTAATAGCAATATATTTTAATGTTAAATTGTAATGAACGCAACAAAGAAATTATTTAAATAATGTTATCTGTAACAAACACTTATATATATATATATATATATATATATATATATATATATTTTATACGAATTTGTGATATAATGCAAAAAAAAAAGAAAAAAAAAAAAAAAAAAGAAATACTTTATATCTATATATAAATACTTTATATATATGAAATAGTTTTATCAATATTATATCCAAGCCAATTCATCTTATTATTTAGAAGTTAAAACCGTGCGTGGATAATCATATGTTTTTATTTACATATTTGTTTCATACAGTGATTACATTTAATTGTCACGACCTTATGCATGACGAATTCTCGATTATAATTTTAATAAAGAAACTTTATTACGATGTTTTATACGACTTAACGACGTACCGCGAATAAAATCGAACTGGCAAATTGGCATATCGGTAGTTAAGCATAGAATCAAATCAACATGAACACACGTCCTCTTAAAATGGCACACGCATTAATTTATAATATACGTTTCTTTTTTGTTTTTTTTTTCACAATAATTCCGATGATATTGTTAAATTGTGATCGTTATTATTTAAGTATAACATCGAATATTTTTATTGTAATATTGTATATTAAAGTGAAATTAATTTTTATTCAGTATAAATTTTGGATTATTATTAATTTATTTCAATATAGAGAATCAATATGATATTTTTACATGGAACACTATAGTGTTCGTGAAGTATAATAAAATGAAATGAAATGGTTATTAAACCGTGTAAATTTTGTTACGATACGTTCGAACTGAAGGTGCGATTTCAAAGACATAGTCACGACGTAAAATTCAAATACGTTACTTGAGGTGATCGATTCGGAGCGGTTTTCGATATGTGGAATTTTTTCTCTTCTTTTATTTTTCTTCCCGTGATTTTTTCAATTATTTGCTTATCTAATAACATAAAAACACTTGCAAGTTATGATCGTTGGAATACGATACGGCGAAGTTTAAAATCAAATACGACTCAAACTTCTATCAGTTATAAACGTGAGTAATATGAAAAATATAATACATATATATATATAAATATATATATATATATATATATATATATATGTATATATATATATATATATATTTATATATATAAAATAAAAATTATTATTTTATATATATTTTTATATATATAAATATAATTTTATATTTATATATATAAAAATAAAAATAATAATTTTATATATATATATATATATAAAATTATAAAATAAATTTTCATTATTTTCTAAGTTGATACTTGGTCAAAATATGACAATCCTGAGGAAGGTACGCATCATCAAGGAGATATTCAAATATCAAATACTCGAAAAACGATTACGTCATTCAAAGAGCTATTGTGGCCAAATGGAATTGTATATTATACTATAGATAAAGCTATTGGTAAATTACTTTTCTATATATCTATTATTATTTATTTATAATCTTGTATGAATTAAAAACATTCTTGTCTTATTTAATAGACATAATTTTCATGACATTTATTTTTTATTACAGAAAACAGTCCACAACAATTATCTATTCTGCAAAAGGCAATGACGATACTAATGGAAAAAACGTGTATTCAATTTCAGCAAATTTATCCGAATGAAAATGGACAATATTCAGTTGAAAGTTGGGTTAATATTGTAGGAAACAAAAGTGGATGTTATTCTGATTTAGGACGTAATTCATTTGGCGGGCCGAGTGTTCTAAACTTAAATGTAAATTTATGTTTTGGTATAATAGGTCATGCTCTCCATGAAATGTTACATACATTAGGTGCTTATCATGAACATATGAGACCAGATCGTGATCAATATATTTATATATTGTGGGAAAACATTAGAGAAGGTAATTATGATTACGATAACTTCAACATTGATTTTTAATTCATAGATATTGTAAATAGTACAAAATAACTGATATTTTTATTAGATGAGTATATTTAATTTCTTTTCTATTCCCAGGAAGTAAAAATAATTTTGAACTGTTAGGTGTTAATACAATAACTGATTATGGATTGCCATATGATTATGATAGTATAATGCATTATTCAATGACAGCTTTTTCTAAAAGTAAATCTTTAGCAACAATAATACCTAAGGTACATGTATATATATATATATATATTTTTCATTTTACTATTTTTTTTTTTTTTTCTTTTTTTTTTTATATTTCTATTAACAATTTTCATATAGATAAATGGCATTGAAATTGGTCAAAGAGAGAGATTATCTTATTATGATGTTAAAAAATTATTAATAACATATGAATGCAGTGAGATATATTACTATAAAAATGAAAGACTGTATATGGACGAATATAATGGAATTGAACTTCAGGTCAAATGAATAATACAACTGTAGTATTATATGAAACAACAAATAATACTATAAATCCTGTTACAAAAGTAGGATTAATTATAAGTCCTAAATAAATACGTGAAACATTAAATAGAAGTGATAATGTAAACTTGTAAACTAGTAATCATTCATAATCAAAATATCACTCAAAGGATGCAGAATATTATTCTATAGATTCAAACTTTGCCATTGTTAATTATCCAATTCATAATTTTTACTATTATGAATAATCTTTTAAAGGTATAAAGAAAATTAGAAATATTTTTTGAGTATTGTATAATAATTTTAATGAATTGTAATTTCATATTCTACACCAATGGATAACAGACTTTTTCTTTTTTTTTTTTTTTTTTTTAAATATACTTCGAATTATTATAAATAAATTACATGATGTACATTATTATAAATACCTATCGACCTTTTGTGTAATATGAATCCTTTGTTCTAATATCATCATATTTTGAATGGCCTCTTTCTTGTGATGATTTATCATGATTTCTAGATTTATGTTTTTTCTTTACGTGTCTATCTTTTGATTTATGTTTGTGTTTTTTATGAGACTTATAATCTCTAGAACGAGATCTATGCCTATGTTCACTTCGTTTAGTCTTTTTTGATCTTTCCTTTGAATCTGATAAACGTTTCTCATATTTCTTATATTGCATAGATTCAGAGTAATTTTTATTTATTGTACTTTCTTGTCGTCGATCATATATTGTATTTGTACGTTGATGCCCATTTTTTTCAATCCGTGAGAAGTGAGAGGATGCTGATGGCTTTTCATAACAATTAGTTACAATTAATTTCTGTTTTTCAGAATATGTATTTAAATCTTGTTCAGAATTATATGTGGTTCTTGTTGCAGTAGGATCTTTTTGTTCTAAAATATATTCTGTATATATTTCCATTTGTTGATTTATAACTTCTCTAAGAATTTCTATATGAGATTTTTTATTAGTGTGTACACCTCTGTGCTTAGCTCTACGCCTTTTCAAATTGCGTTCTTGTACAAGCATTTCCAAAAGGGACATTTCTTTGTTATCTTTATCTTGTGGTCTTCTAAAAAGATAAATGTATAATAGTTTAATATAGAGTAATAAAATAAAAATGTTTATATATTTTTTGGCTTTTTAAAAAAACTTACGGTTTATTTATATCAGCAATATCATGACCTATATCAGGTTTAACAGTATGAGCAATCACATATTCGTACAGTGCCTTCCTCTCATCGCTAGTAAAATCTGAGGTGAGTCTGTCAGATGTATGTGGAATTAATCGTTGACCCAAACCTAGTATAAGTGTCAAGAAAAATTATATAGAAGATAACTGTGATCAATTGAAAAATATAACAATGTTATTATATACAAGATAAAGAATAATTAATCAAATTGATATTAATTAAATTTTAATAATGGAAAGTATATGATCTAATATCGATATATGTACATTCAGCAAAGGATATGAAAAAGGATATATATCGAGTCCGTGCCAAGTATAACATTCATAATCTTCTGGAAAAGATCAAACGATTTAAGATACAAAAAAGCATTGATCTTTGTTTACTTGATCTAAGACCAACCTGTTTTCATCTCTGGATTTTGTTCTTTTGCGTGTCGTAAGATTTCATCCTGTAATTCTTCGTCTATAACATATAATACCCAAGTAATTTTAATTAATAAACAATTATATTCTGATTGACAGATAATCGATATTGTAAACAATTAGAAATGTTTTATATACTAACCCAATTGGAGACTCGATGGAGCATTTGGTGATAAAGCTGATTCTGGAAATGGAATGTTAAATTTTCCATAACCTTCCGCTTTCCATTGACAGGCAGATAGATGTGCATCGAGACATTCTTCTGTAATTCGATGTGATGGATCGTAGGGACACGTTAAGAAATTTTTATTCTATGGAAAAACAATGATCGATTTATATTACTTATATTCTATAAATAAATGAAAAATAGAATAATCGTTATCTTACATACATCTTGTGATATACTCTCTATTGTCCATCCTAAAGTAGAGGTTATATTGGCGATTTCTTGATTGATATTTTTATTGAAATCGTTTAATTCTACCAATTGTTTTTTTCTCTCGTCCAATGTAACTTCCAACATTATAAATTAATATAAATTATTTTAATTCTACGAATATAGTTAAAAGTATTAAATCGAAAAATATCATTCAAATTGACTAACTTAAACTGATGTCAAACTATATAATTATAGCCATATAGATGGCGACCTTGTATTCATTTGATTTGCGTAATAATTCAAATGTTTTATTGTAGAAATTTTATAATACGTTGGAACTTTCAAATTCTCTCGTTAGTTGTCATTTTGTCTTACTTTTTATCTATTGTAAAATTGTTAAGTCATGCGGGGAAAAAGTGGAAAAAAAAAATAGAAAAAAAAAAGAAAAAAAAAAAGAAAAATGGAATTAATCTTAAGCAATACATTCATCGGGTAACCTTAGTGAAATTGTGAAATTACGCGAAGTAAAGATAATAATCTAATTACGTGATATTTGAAGGTTACGTAATATTTCGAGAATTTAGAAAGGTAATTTACGCACGATATATATATCGAAAGATATTATTTTGCATTTAATATGATTCATTAAGTTTTGCGATTTAAATATTTCATTATTACAATGAAATTAATTTCTAATATTTTATTTATTATTAGATCAATTGCTATGCCTCGACATACGTATTATGCAACGATCTCTTCAAGCGAAGACATGAAAATAAACGTGAGTATTAAAAATTTCAATTTTTCATAATAGTTCGGAGAAATGAGACACTCTTATTACTTATAATTTAAATAAATAATTCGTAAGCCTAAAGGCTTTCGGATAGAATATCGTTAATCGTTCAAAAGTATATTCGTTCGGATTTGGATCTTAATCCAGAGAATTAACCTCGAGAGTTCAATTTTTTTTTTTGCGAATCCTATAATAATGCAGACGATCAAGTTATTCCAGTTTTCTCATTCCTTGATCAATGCTTGAGATTTTTAAGTTTCGATTGACTTTAAGTTTTAATGACATTGATGTTTGGATTTGGATATGATCGAAGATCTATTCACGATCATTGAAAATATGCAATCGTTGACGAACAGTCGATAATTTTCGTACTAATTTTTTTTTCTTTTTTTTTGTTTTTTTTTCCTCCCACCAGCATACTTAACCTTACGGCGAAATTGTTTTCTATTATTAAAACGACGAATTAAATAATTTAAATGTATTTTCGTTAATCGTAAAGTATGAAAATAATTTTGGATAATTTTTGTACTTGGAAGCTGCAATTGTATACGAAGATTGTCATATAGGATTCACTTGGTAAACGTTGTAACGACCTATGTAATTAACAGCGTGGACTAAGACGAAATATTTTTGATCTGATTGTAAGTCGAGTCTATTTAACTTTCTCTCGATAACCTTGTGACGGTGTTGTTGGGCATCCAGTTCTCGAAAATTGTACGAAAAACATTGAAAACAAGGTAAATAACGTGGCCTACTTACTCATGTACGTTTCCTTTCATACAAGTCAAGTCAAGTCAATTAGTTCTTCGTTAGATGTTCACGAAGGAGGAACATATAAGATTTCGTTAACGCGTGTGATTTTATTCTTTCTTCAGATTTTCAACTTTTAACTTTAGACATGTATCGGAGAATTAAAAATTACGTTATGCGCTATTTTAATTCAATAATAATAATAATAATAATAATAATAATAATAATAATAATAATAATAATAATAATAATAATAATAATAATAATAATAATAATAATAATAATAGTAATAATAATAATAATAATAATAATAATAATAATAATAATAATAATAATAATAATAATAATAATAATAATAATAATAATAATAATTAATCAAAGGATGTGATTGGGAAGTTGAATTTTGTTTTTTTTCTTTCTTAAAGAAAGTAAGAATTCAATTTATTTTAATTGCTTTGGTGATTTATAATGAATGATGATTATTATATAATTTAACAAAATGAAACGAATTATTTATCATTATGAAAAACGTTGGAATGAGTTGTGTGCTGTGACCAAGTCGTTTCGCTGGTGATCACTAAATTCAAGGGAATATACGAGCGAACACGTACTTGGTCGTAGTAAACAGTAAAAACTCGGACGACTCTCTGGTCGCCATGATCATTGAAATACATTTAATTAAATGCAGGCGTTCGTACTACGAGCAACTTTTCTTGAAGATTGGACACTGGCAAATGGTAGTCTTCAAGGTGTCTGTCAAGGTGACTGTTTTCATTAGTTGTACGTAAATCCGTCACTAACGTGAGACCATAAGTTACGATATTGACAAATTCGAGTCACCAAGTTTGATCGCCTGCTTTTTTTTTTTCTGGTCTTTCATCGATCTACTCGCAGTTGATTGATCGATAGTGCGCAACGAGCCTTAAATTGGACTTTTTAGTTTGGTGCTGTTATACGTCGAAGCTCTTTTAGATCTACTAAATTCACCCCACCCCCGTTTTACTTAGCACATGTAAGATGCATTTTTAAACATTTAGTGGAGGGGACACGTCGAGGTAACCAAATGGCTGGGTATGTGACGATTGATTAGATGACGCATAACTTTGACTCTTCTATTTTTCTTTCTTTCTTTCTTTCTGTTTTTTTTCTTTTTTTTTTTTTTTTTTTTTTTTTTTTTTTTAATGGATTCATCGTCTATTTGGACTTTTAAGAATAGAAATTCTTAATCCGCAAGTTTCGAAGAGTAAATGATCTCTACAAATGTTCTGAACAATGATTTTCTTATTTATCTCACGTAGTACATAAGTAATTCATTGAACATTTTCATACATATATATATAAAGAAGAAATATATATATATATTATCATTATTTATATATTTTTATATATATTATATCATTTGAAACAAATAAATTCTCGTAAAGAGTCGGGAATACGAAAAGCGGGAGCTACCTGTATTAAAACTATATCTTCCGCTCTAAACACAAATAAAGCGATGAGCGGATAAAACGATAGAGCGTTCTATCTTTTCTGATAGTATACAGTGCATTGGATATGCGCAGCTTTGGATGTCACGATGATTTATCGGGCCGGAAACGAATTCATGTCCAATTATACGACCAACGAATATCGCGCACAGATCGGTGCGCTCGCTTTGCCATTTATTTTCGCGAATTGTTCAATACACACCGCCATGGTTTGCTAAAGTTTTTTGTGCAGCGATCGCGTGTAATCGTTTTTTTTTTTTTTTTTGTTTCATGCGTGTTCTTTTTTTGCTTTTTTCTTTTTTTTTTTGTTCGTTTTGCCTTTTTTGCTTTTTTTTTTTTTGTTTCTTTTTTTTTCCATATAACAGGTCGCCGATAAAATTTCACGATTTGCACCACTGATTGACAATCATACGGTATTCTACTACTCGGTCGGTGGACTCGACAGTTCTAGTGTGAATTTTTTTTTTTCTTTTTTTTTTTTGGAATTTCGACGAGTGTCGAGGAAAACTTTTTTTGTACGATCGATATGTTTTCGTCGTCGATTGACTGTTAGCCTCTTATTCGATTTTAAGCTTTTTATGAAAGTTGTCTCGAACGTTCAATCGGTTCGATCTAGATGGGTTTTCCGCACCTAACGTTAATTAGGCTCGTACTATTCGACGAGTCATATATGCCGAGAACTACAAATAATTATTATTGTCACGTCGGACGTGCATCATTCGTAAAACCGGTTAATCCGGTTAACGCGAAGCCTCCCGGCGATCGAGAGGCGCTCTCGGTAAAAGGCCATCGCGATAAACATGTCCAATTTTTACTTAAGTTACCCGCAGCGCTCTTGGATTAAGTTCGCTTCGTACGTTACATCGCAAATAATTTTATTTAAGGTCCCCTCACGGCCGTTTCTCAAAGTGTTCTCTCACGCGTTTCTCCGTTATTAAAAATGAGACAAAATGATGCTCGATGTCGAGCCGGTAGGATTTGTCCGATCATCGAAGGTTCTTTTCGTTCCACCTAACAAGATATCTCTTTTTTGGCTTTATTATGAGCAGAAGCGATCAGTAAAATCGAAAAGTCGATGGCGAAGTTAACGAGTTTGCAGAAAGTTTATATATCTACATTGTCAACGCTTTAAATATAAGTATACACACACAAACACACACATACATATAGATAGACATAGGCATATATATATATATTATAAATATATATACCACCTATATGTGTGTATATATATATATATATAGATACATGTATAAATACATAAGTCACGCTAGCGAGGGGAAGAAAGGCCAAGAACACGATAAGCTTCTCCGACTTAACATAGTTAACGATAAAAGGAGCGAAAAGACTAATCGGCACGCGTCGCCTGGTCCATGAATCAGAGGTAACGTCGGCATTGAAAAACAAGACAGAGTGATTTCTTTTTTACGCGCGAAGAAGAAGAGTGACGAGTGGAGGGAGTGATGGAGCTAAGGGGGGTGGGAGGGAGGGAGGGATGAATGGATGGATGGAACTCGCGTGCGAATCACGAATACGTCCTTTTCGTTGCGGTAAATGCGAGTAGACGAGAGAGGAGAGATAGATAGATAGAGATAGAGAGATAGAGATAGAGAGAGAGAGAGAGAGAGAGAGAGAGAGAGTGAGAGAGAGAGAGAGAGAGGGGCAAAAGAGATAGAGAGAGAAAGATAGATAGGCAAAAGATAGAGAGAGAGAGAAAGAGAGATATGGGAGAGGGAAGAGAACGAAATGGCTCTCGGTTGCCGCTACCAGACAAAGAAGCCCGTCAAGCACGATGATGGACGCCTTCATGAACGACCCTACGGAGCCCCGTACATCACTTTTATTACCGCCGTCCTCATTTTCATATTTCATATTTACATTTCTAGACCGCCGTAAATCAGCGAATTTATGGGTAATTAGGCCTTTGTGCCGCGTGGACCCACCGAGTCAGTCGTAGAGAGATCGGGGGTGGAGCGAGCCACCCCCTTCCCTTTCTCCTCTTCTTTCTCCTTCTCCTCCTCCTCCTCTTTCTCTTTCTCCTCCTCCCCCTTCCCTTCACAGAGAGCGTCGCTTATCGAACGATATGGTACTCTCTCTTTCTCTGTCTCTCTCTCTCTTTCTCTCCTCCTGGCTTATTTCGCGACTCGAAACTACCCTTCCGCTCTCTTCTCACGGCCAACCTCATCCCCTTTCTTTATATTACTACCATCTCCCTTTCGAAATCAGAAACAAGGAAAATGACTCTCTTTCTTCCTTTTCTTTCTCGAGAGAGGATTTCAAAGTTCGGACTTGGAGTCTATCTTTGGGAAACCTGGATCTAAAGAAGATTGGACCGGTAGATTCGGATTTATTTAGCCCTAGTACTTTGTGTAGAAGTTCTGTCTAACGAGGAATTCTTTTACAGTTTTCTCAATGTGGATTTTCAGGTGATGGTGACTAACTATGTAGATTGGTAATTTCTTCTTTTGAAAACATTCTTTATCCATTCGAAAGTCTTAATGGTATTTTATTTATTTTCATGTAGACATAAGCATATTGTAAAATTTATATCGTTCGTAGAACCCAACTGGTCTTTTGACTTTTCAATGGATTAAGTGGAGAGGAAAAATGGAAAATGATATTACCACCTAAATGTTATACGAGATGCGTTGGACGCGTTTAGCCCTCCATGTCATAAAGATCCTCGTTGATACTTAACAGTGCGTTTTAATGGGGCACGCAGGTGCGAGTACATCTTGTCGTCTACTTTCC